TGTGAGCCACAAGCGCGGCCGGCACAAGGAGCCGCGCTTCAAATCTGCTGGCTCAAGCGTTCCTCAAAATCTACATCGTCCAACAAGCCATCGTCTACAACCAGCATACTTTCCTTCCACATTCTTGACTCTGTGTCCGCCACAACAGCCCACGCAGGTGTCACTTGATGTTTGCTCAGACGACTGACCGCACTGTACAACGGATTTTGCACTTGATCGTACTCGAGATACCTGACTTGTGTAATATTTCAGTCTGGATGGATATAGACATCATCCTTAAAGTGATTGCTTCCTCCCACCATCTTGCACCTCTTCGCCAGCTCTTTGTAAGCGGCTCTGCAAACCTTGCCCTTCACAGTCTCGTCAAAGTCTTTACTTTGCCAAGTGCATCTGAGGAGATTTTTTGCCCTCCGCACAGTAGCGGCCTGTGCATCCCTCACTTCATACACAAAGCTTGCTAGTTTCCTCTCATGCTCACCTTGAAGGCCCTCAATCGGTGCAAGATCTGGTGAGTTACCAGGATGGTTCACAAACACAATACCTTGTTGTTGTATTTCGGGCTGTAATAGTTTGCGAGCCTTTAGATGTGGTCCATGATTATCCTCCTGGATGACCACTCTCCTACCCGGGTTGCGCCGACAGATCTCGCGGTAGTAGGGAAAAAGCAGCTTCCGATACACTTCGAAAGCGTACCACACAAAGTTGAGCTTTTTGGCGCCGTCTTTCGGGTCGTGATGTTGGTAGGGAAAGAGGCGTTCTGGCGTCCAATCCTTAGGGCCCCCACTGTCGTTAGCATTGGCCCGCATCCAAAGACGTTTAATCTTGACCTGCGTGTTCATCCAGACGAGGTACTGGTGTTCAGACGTGCCATGTATGCTGGCATTGGCACGTTGCTCTTCAGTAATCTTCCTTGCCTGTACATTACATTCGTTCAATTGCTTTTGCAGCTCCTCAGATGTCTGGTCTTCAAGTTCCCAAACAGTCCAGGGTCTCGTCACGCTACAGTCGTCGCCGCAAGCAGCAGCCCATTGCTCAAGTTTGAAACGGGTCGGGGCACAGCTTTGATACGAGCTCGTATTAATCGGCAATGATATGTGCTGATTAGACGTGCCACCAAAGTGGTAGGCCTTCTCATCGCAGCATATGATGATCGCCTCGGCTTGGTCTAGCTGCTCAACCTCGAAAAGATATGCTTGACGGTTTGAGATATTGGCAGCGCTAAGCTCGTTACGTCTGTACACACGATGTCGTGTATACGCTCTTTGGTCGTCTACGTCCGCTGCGCACTGTTCAGGGTCTTGCAAGACATTATACACCTGCTGCGCCCCTAGTGGTCGGATGTTGTGATCGATCTCGCCGAGTACTTGGCGTTCCCTAAGATGACGGTTGGCTGCGTCGTTCATCGCATGAAATGGGTGTTCCCGGACACCTCTTCGGACGGTAAGGGATACCTCATCACCGGGTGCAGCTCTTCTTGGTCTGCCGCTGCGCGGTTGTACGCTGACCGCCGCTTGCAGATCCGCCAGGTCTGAAGTTGGACTGCGCGCTCTTGCGGCTTGGATAAGCGTGTTTACAGTCGGCCTCGTGAGGTTCAATCTCTGTGAGATCTCCGTCTGAGGCATGGCCAGATCGAACGCGTATGCGATCACGCAATGGCGCTTCCAAAGGGGAGTCTCGAGGCCTCTCCCCATTGTGTGTAAGTTGACAATTGCTTTGGTCTGTTGATTATTCTCAGTACGATTGAGAAGCATTCCGCGGCGACGGATGGCTCCATGGCTTGGCAAAATTCGAAAACTTTCGGAAAAGCGGAGGGCCTCCGTGATTACTCTATCTCTTGGCACTTCTCTCTGACCACGGACGCTGCACGTGATATCAATGGGTCCAGCTATCACGAA